TTTCCAGTCCTTTAAATATCCATGTGTCTTCTGTTACTGGGGTGGGGGAATATGTAGGGGATGCTCCTTGTTTTTTATTTGGTTTGGTTTTTCACAACACAAGGAATCAAACGCAATGATTTATCACTCTAGGTAACTGTTCCACTGCTAACTACTCCCCCAAGTAGGTTGTGTTCAATTTAAGACTCAATTACTTTCATTATTTTCAGAACCACCTCCCTGAGTTGTCGTCTCTCTTGGCCACAGAATTCTGACTCTTCAGAATCTGTGAATCCTTTACTCCTACTATTTTCTTTCCTTCTACTTCCCATACACACTGTGACTAAATCCAAACCTTAGTATCTCATCTCTAGATTAGTACAACTTCCTAAATAAATACCTTCCTTATTCCAGTGCCTTCCCAGGAACAATTCATTCCGCCACAACTTACTGCATACCAAGTGCTGTTCTTGGGGTTTCCCATTTATTAGCTTCTCTGATGCTAAAACAAACTTACCAGTAGCTATTACCGAACAGATTAAGAACAGTAGCCTATAGTAAGCTAGTAAGTGATGATATCTGAATGTGACCCCAACAATGCAGCTCTAGATAAGCTTACAAACATGAATTCTGGAATGGCAACTGGTTAAAGCCAACTTCTTTTTTCTCAAACTGTACAGACTCTTCAGTAACATCAAATTACTATTTTATACTATCCCAACTTCTGGGAAGTTGAATTCTTCTCCTCCATGAACAATCCTACATATTGCCTTCACAAGTGAACACTAAATCAAACCTTTTAAGTTAAGCTAGTTCCCTCACTCTATAGCACAACCCTCTTATGGACTCAACATAAATTATACTAATATACAGTTCTTGATATTCTGTACATACAGAAGTTTACCATCCAGTTTTATATTTTATATCTTTACACATAAACAATGAAATGTCTCCACTTCCAGTCTATGACCTTCTCTATTTCCCATCTTCCCAAAAGCTAGTACCACAAGACCAGGCTGCATAAAGTAGTAATTAATAAATGGTTATCTAACTGACAATCATATGGCTCAACTATTTAACAAAGCAGGATACCAATCTCTAGTCTTCTGTAGTGATACGTTGGTTTTCTCACTTTATTCCATAAATACTTTAGATCTGTAATTTCAACATTCCCAACTAAAAGTAAACATTCAGGTGACATCAAAAAGCAATCTTGAACTGTTCGATATTTTGTTAGTTTTTTTAGCTTTTGGTTCTTTTCTTTTTTTCTTGGTTTGGTTTTGTTTTAAGGTAGCTTATGCACTGTGGAGAAACAAGATTTTCTTTCCTTCCTCAGTTCCCACCTAACAGCATCCTAATAAGCACCTCTTATCTATAAGCACTCTCTTGTAACAAGATGCCTGAGTCTTCAACAATATAAAGCAGGCAGTGAATTTCAAGAATGGTAACCAACTGTTTAAGAACAGAAAAGACTATCTGGCCTTAATAACTGTGTATGCTCTATGATTCTGATAAATCAAAATGCAGAAACAACTGTGATGATAATCAAAGCTGAATGTTTTTATTTTCCTATCCAAAAAAACCATTGTGAAACTCTGGGAAGACAATATACCAAAAGATAGTTTAAAGACAGAAATATAAATTTATATTTAAGTTGTTGATGAAAAGACAAAAATGATCGATTATAAGCACCTTTCACTAAGTGTAGCAAGTCTCAAGCACTGTGGTCTGATGAAGGGGCACCGTGCTCACAGCTACAATCCTGTGTTTTAATTTTCTGTCTTCCATGTTTGTACTTACAAGGTTTTCCAAAAAGACCTCTTTTCTAATTATCTTTTACCTTAATAAATCATTGTAACTTAAAATATTACGTGTCCCCATACAATTGCTTACTCTGTCGTTACTATTTATCAGTAAAGCAGTATCTAAAATGTTGAATCTTATCATATACATATTAATAAAACATAGTTATCCTAAATCTCAACTCTAACTGGTATACACACTCCACTCATAACCTGAAAATACCTTGAGTGATATAGGCCAACTTAGTCTCCATTTTATTTAAAAATCATCATTTCTGTTTGTACTATAATTCACTTTTAAAATACATTAATAAAATCTTGGTTTTATGCCTTCATTTCCTTTTCACTAGATGTATTCAAATTTCATTATAGCAATTTGAAAAGTTATATGATGCGTCCACACTTAATAATCTTAGCATACATAATGGAGAGAGTAAATACTTAATAATGCTATGGATTTTTTAATTAGTAGGAAAGTGCATGCAATTATAAAAGGGCAGCATAAGGCTGTCTTTACCTTACCACTATCATTACCCTATTTGTGACACCATGCTACACTTAAGGAAGACATTACCACTGGAAGAAAATGGAGAAAGCAACACTGGATCTGTGGATAGTTTCCCTTTTGTTTTTTGTTTTGGTTTGTTTCCACAGTCTTATGTAGCCCACTCTGGCCTTTAACTATGTATTCAGTTGTAACCTTGAATTCCTGTCCCTCCTGCCTTTGCCTCTGAGCTGAGATTACAAGTATGAGCCAATATACTAAATTGCATATATTGTTTCCTATAACTGTATTTGAAGCTGGTGCACCCCACCCTTCATTTCCAAAGAAACACTTATCACAAGGTCACTACGGAACATCTCACACAGTCTATCACACCAAGTGGACTAATTTACAGTCTAACTATAATGTAAAGGAAATAACATCTTGAGGAAGAAATGACACTGTACAGATTCAAGTAATAAATACACGTTCATCTTCTCTATAATGACTTTCTAGTGCCAGCTACTATGCACGTTATTTGTTTTGCTTCAGAAACAAGATAAAAGCAACATCTCATTCTATAGAATATACTGGGTACTTCAGGTAAAAAGAAGACACAAAAGTATTGTACATATTTAAATAGTATCTCAAAAATAATCAACTACAAAATTAAGTCATTCTTTAAAGGGATGAATAAAGAGGAGGACGTAATACTGCACATTATAAACTGCAGCTCTCACAAAGCAAAAGGTGTCCCACTGTTACTCCAAAGACAAAACCTCTAGTCTTTACAACCAGCTCTTCAAAAGGACCATGAGATCTTCACGTCCTATGTGCTGCACATCAATAGAAACTATAGTGTGTCACAAATATCCTTTGAAATCAGCATAGGTTAATCAAATGTCAATAAGATACATGTACAGTACATACACAGAATAGTACTGTGCCAATTTCTTTTAAGCATTCATTTTGAGATAAGAAAGGGTATAGAGAAACTGTATCCACCAGATATCTTGTAAAATAACCTCACACAATTTTCTCATTTCAAAATTTAGATCGTCTAATTACTCAAGGGCATATCCACAGAATATGTGGATGTCCACAGAATACAGAAATTCCCAAATAACATCTTAATGCAGAGAAATGAGTGTGTCTTCTCTCACAAATATTTATGTGACGCCTTGAAGAGTGGTGGCAAATGCCAGTACCATGCTTGCAATCCACCAGACATTTTCAAATCAGAAGCCATTCTCAATTCTTAAGTATAACCCCACTCTCATAACAAGTTTCTAATGTTCCTATCCTAATCAGTGCCCAGTTAAACATTTTCCACAACCTGAACTGAAGCTAACAGTATAAAACAGCAGTCAGGAACCACAGGAGGGCATACCAAGCACCTGTCTTGTCTTACAAAATGTACATCTGAAAGTTCTTAACATTGAACTCTTAGCTACAAAAATTAAGATGTCCTCTAAATACTAGCAGAGGGCTGCAACACAGCTACTTCTCTACAAATAATTTTCTACTTCTAGTCCAAAAAGCAGAAAATGCTCCAGTGCTTACTAGCGAGAGAAAAGAGGTGGGAGAAGGGTTGGAAGTTGGCTAACATTTCATATCTTTATAATCAAGATTACTATCCTTTAGCTTATATGAAATCCAAAAATGCTCTCCTATTCAACACGTTAAATGACAGGCATCCTATAGTTTTTCCACATGGTGTACTGTCTGCCAACCTAATGTGTGATTTTAAACAAACGGTTTTTAAATATAAAGTAGAAATAGAATAAAACATTAAACCCGGTTATAAAATTAACCACATTTCCAGGTGTTCTGCTCTCACAGCATTTGGAAACCAGTTATGATTTTACTAAGGTAAACAAAAAGCACTGACTGAGCTTCTGCCCAGAAACCTAACAGCCGGTTTTCTCAGGATGATGCTCTCATTGCTTTTCTCCCCAGCTCTTTGGACACTGAAGAATAAATTTAAGTGAAACAGAAGTTACAACTTCTATGAACTAGAATATACCCTGCTCTGGAAAATTCATTTCTAAATTCCAAGCTTAGTAATATGACAAAACAGTATACCAAAAGCAAACAAATTTAACATTAGTAGTATTGGCTTAGGAATCTTAATTTTTTAAAAAAATCCTAATTTTTTTAAAAATTAGATTCATATATCATTTAAAATAATCTAAGTTTTTATTTATTTCTAACATAAAATTAACATTTTAAATTGATGTCCACAAAATTACTGATTTTCTAAAGATTTCCAATGTAAGAGCCATTTTTAAATAAATACAACTAACTAATTATTATTTGTCTCAATTCTACCTTTTATGCACACGTATCAGTAATACTTTTATCCATTTTAGAAGCTGGGATTTAATAATGCTAATGAGCTGAAAATAAATGTCCGCATATAAAAGGAACACCCATAAACCACAGAGCACCTTCTTCAGGCATTTTCTAAACACAATCATGACCCAATCAACCATGTTCAAGACAATTTTGAATCTTGACAGTCACAAAGAGAGCAACTTGAAATCTATGTTGAAATTCTTTAAAACATATCAAGGAATCTTTAAGACAAGGCTCCAAGTTTGAGACTTTTTCAGTTTATAATTCTAACCAGACACGGTACAGAATGTGTAACGGGCACTAAAATGCTTTATGCTTTCTATTAAAATGTGCCAGAGCACTAAAACATAAATTTCTGATTTTCAGCGTCGTCTTACCTGACCCGCTGAACTGACTGCTTCCCAGGGTCGTCGGTCTTGTTTTCCCACTATTAACAGGTGGGGAAAACATCTGCAAAATAAGCCAAATGCATCTGTTAATCCTGAAATTCTTCTAGACTCCTTGCAAAGAAAAGTTCAAGTGTCATCAATTAATTCCTTAATTTTCATAGAGAGTTTGAAATAAAAATGGAAGATACATTCAGACCAAGCATGGCAATAACAAGTGATATTACTTACTAATACTGCTTGGGAAAACTGGTGACATTTGCTATCAAAACCCGGCTACAGGCAAGATTCCAAGATAATTAAGTCTAAACAGTAAATTTTTACCCATGATCTTCACTTTGGCCCAAAGTGATTCCCATTGCATTAACATTACTTATAGCACTTGTAATCAGAATCGTGTCCGATGAAACCACCACACACCAGAAAGATAATAAATATCAGTTCTAATATAGCAGGTATCGGTCCCGCCTTCGAGGCACAGTTAACGTTGAAATTCAAGCCATTAGCAACAAATAAGGGCAATGGGCTCTGTGGCTTCACCTTTTACTTTTAAATCATTTTCCATGTTACGTATGCACACTGCATCCGCATAGTTAAAGTACTCAGCTCAGAAGGCCTGGAATTCTACCGCTAGGTCGACTTCTCTGAAGCTGACACATTTTCAGGTACCACAAGCCACATGAAGTCTTGGGGAGGGAAGAAACTGAGAAGAGTTTCAGGGGGAAAGAAATCTTTCATACAAAGTCTAAAATCCCTAATAATCATCAAGGCTAGGCTCAACCAAAGCTCATGACTGCACTGTTCTTCTCCTAACTGGTTAAATCCAATGACCCCTCTGGCATTAAAGTTTGAAATCTGCAAGTCTAGACATTACATCAAAGTTCAGGTGTCCAACTTGGGGGAGTTGGACTCCAGCCCTCCGGAGAATCGCTGAAAAGCAGATGGAGTTGGCCGCTGCCATGTCGCTTTCCCCCTTTCCTCCCTAGCTCGCTATCTCGGGAAACCGCAGCAGAACCCCAAGATGCGGAGGAAAGCTCTCCTACCGCACTGAAGTCCAGCAGGTCGCTCAGCTCCTTGTCGGTCCCTATCGCGGCCATGCGCTGCTGCTGGGGATTCATCTTCAGCCACTTCTAGCAGGTCCTACGGGCGGAGGAGACAGGCTGAGTCGCGGAGACCCGGGGGCCCGACGTGAGAGGGGCAGGGGCAGGGGCAGCGCTCGGGGTCGGGGGCCACCGGCCGACACGCCAGACCCCCACGCATCCCCACAGAGGGAGGGATGGGCAGAGGCGGGTGAGCCCCGCTACCGCTCAGCTGCGGGAACCCACGCGTGGCTCGATGGCTCCCGCAAGTTTCCGAGGTGGCTCGGCTTCGTGGTCCCCAGAGGCGGAGTACCGAACGAGCCCGCGCCCAGCGAGGGAGCAAGAGAGCGGCGGCGACCCGGAGAGCAAGTGACTCACTCGCTCGGCAACAATAGAGCTGACAAGTTGCGGGGAGCGCGCAGCTCACAGGCCCGCGTCTGCGGCCCGGACGTCCCCAGCGGGGGTCCTCGGGGTGGCGGAGAGCGCCCCACGCGCGTCCGCGCACCGCAAACTCCCGCCCGGCCTCCTCCTCCCACTTGGGCCGCCCTGCCCCGGACTCGCTGAACAATGAGACGGGCTCGGCGGCTCCCGGGCCCCGAGTGCCGAGCCCCGAGCGCCGCGCAGGCCGACCGCCGCTGCCCGGGCCTGGACCCCGCGGCTCGCGCCTCCGCCCCGCCGCGCGCCGCAACTTGGACGCGGCCCCGGGCTCCGCGCGGTACAAAGGGACCCGAGTTCCGCGCGTCCCGCCCGCCGCCCGCGGTTACCTGCCGCCCGGGCTCTGCATCCAACCTCCCCGATTAAAGTTCACTTTGGCCGGGAGCGCGGGCTCAGGCTCCCCCCCCCCCCCCCTTCTCTTCGCGCCGCCGGCGGCTCGGTGGCCTCGGGCCCGCGCGAGCACTTGGGTCCGCGCGGCTCGGGCGGCTCTCGGGCTTGGCCGCCCGTGGCTCCCCGGGCGGGCTGGCGGTCCCCCCGATAGAACTTGTGGGTCTCCTCAGGCGGACATTTTTTTTTTTTCGCTGAGGCGGCCTCAGCACCGAGCTCCGCTCGCCTCCGGATCCCTCCGCGCCTCAAGCGCGTCGGCTTAACCCCTCGCTGCCCGGCGCGCTCCCGCCTCCCGCGCCGAGGAAGTGGGACCGCGGAGGGGGCGGGGAGGCGCGAGGCGGGGCGGGGCGGGGCGGCGGACGGACAAAGCCCGCGGCCGGCAGCGGGCGTCTCCTCACGCTGGCGGCGCCCTGAAGTGCTGCGGCGGGGACGCAGCTGGGTAGCATCTGGATTCGCCACCCGCAGCCATTCCCGAGCTCAGCCACGCCGGACGCGGGAGGCTGTGGAGCCGCAGCTGTGGTGGGCGGACTCTGGGAAAAGCGCGAAGCCCCTCACGCCGCGCAAATCAGCTCGCTCACCTGAGCGCGCCGTTCCACCTGAGCCCCGCACGGGGGACAACGAGTTCTGCGAGAGGCTTGAGCCCGGTCCTTGGTGGAACCAGAGTCAGCCTCGGGAAGTTAAGTCTTGATGAGCAAGTTCCGAACTTGGCCTGAAGAAGCCCCACAAAAGAAAGATTCGGCCTAGGAAGGAAGGTTTTCCTGAGGGGAAGCCGGGGCGGGGATTGTGTTGGGGTCTGCTGGTGAAGAGAAGACCAGCCAGGCCTCTGCAGAAGAAACACTGAACAGAAATAAACTGAAGAGAGTGGCCAACTCTTGAGGATCATGACTGCAAGAAGAAGCCGGTGGCCTCTGAACTTCATGTAAAGAAGATAGAGTCGTTAAGTGGGCCATTACTGTGCTTGACTGAAGCTGTCCGACCAGAGGAGATTGAAGTTTGGCTGTGGGGCCTACATCTAGAATTTATTCCAAATCCGATCATAGTCTACCCTCCCCCGAATCCATTCCCCCATGTGCCCATACATGCTCAAGCAACTGGTGTGTGAGTGTGTGCACGCGCGCTTCCTTCTTAAAGTATCATAATTTCACCGAAAAATATCAACACAATCCCGTTTCCTGCTACAGTTTCTGGCTGGTTAATTGGAATAAAAATACGCAAATTTACTGAAGCCTTTGAGAACTTTTTTGCATATGCTCAAAATAAGTAAATAAATCTTCCAAACACGGGTCAATCCACAATAAATGGAACACACAAGGAAGCCTTCTCAAAGAGAGATCTGATATTTGGTGACGTTTCCAGTCTAAACCAAACAGTTCTGAGCCAGGTCCATCATCATTGATTAAAAGAACAGGGTTTGGGTATCTGTTCTTTGGAACTGGGTGTGTTCTAAGTGAGACAAACAGCAATCACAAATTCGCATGCCTCCATAACAAAGACTTAACCATCAAATAGGAAGTTTGATTAGGTAACTTATAAAGCCATATTTCTGTGGTAAGACTGACCGAGTAAAACTGGGGGAAAAAAAAAAATCTTGACAGAAGGCGATGCCATGGAGCCATGAGGGATGAAAGAAGGGACGGCTTCTTATACTTCTCACGAAACTATTTCAGAGGAAGTCACAGGACTCCCTCGTTTCTATGAAAAACTGAAGGGTGTGGTGAGATTTTGTTTTTAACAAAGCTTGTCTGGGAATCAGAGTGTGGCGATAAACCACTAGGTAACCATAGAAGTCAAGCAGTGGTGGCAAACACCTTTAATCCCAGCACTCCAAAGACAGAGGCAGATGGATCTCTTCTGAGTCCAAGCCCACTCCCTACACGAAATGGATCCAGTCTAAAAGAGAAACAGCCGGGTGGTGGTGGCTCTCGCGTGTTTAATGTCAGTACCTGGGAGTCACACGCCTTTAATCCCAGCATTAGAGAAGTGGAGACAGGAAGGGATATGGCTGGGCAGAGAGGTGAATATAAGGTGGGAGGAAACAGGAGCTCAGATGCAGTTTGACGATGCAGTCTGAGGCAGCATTCTGAGGACAGGATCAATCTGTCCCTTTGGTCTGAGCACTGGTAGAGGTAAGAACTCTAGTGGCAGGCCCCTCTGCTTCTCTGATCTTCAGCATTTACCCCAATAGCTGACTCCGAGTTTTTATTATTAATAACAATTAGAGTTAGTGCTACACTTGGGGAAGGTTTTCATATCTATTATGACAAATACAAATTTGTGTGTTGATTCTGTCACTAGATTGGGAGTTTTTTAAGGGTTGAGACTGTCATGCCATGCACCTAACATTATACCTGGTACAGAAGGTTGGATGGTAACCTGAATTTATTTATTCTGTTTAAAAAGTTATTTAATATGTCAATGTGTTGCTGAACATGTGGCTCTAATTTTTTAGAGAAAAGCTGGAATATTGAAATTAAAAGATGAAATTATCTTCACGCTTACATATGGTTTCTGTATGTGTGTTTTTAAATAAAGTAGTAATATTCCCATCAGTGAATAGCCAATGCTATTCCTGACAAATACGGAAGACCCAATATTAAAGTGGAGCTTTAGAGCTGGAGAGATGGCTCAGTGGGTAAGGTGCTTGTTGCATAACCTGAGCTGGTTTTTGCTTTGTTTTGTCTTTTTCAACCACTTGAGTTCTATCCCTAGCAGCCACATGCACACAATAAGTGTTAAAAAACGATTTGATTAGAATTTCACATCATTTATTACACTATTTATTGACTGTGTCAGACAGAACTAGAATTCTGTTGAGAATCTGAGAAAGAACTGGCAGCACAAATTCCATGTTAATTAATAGTACTGACAGGTTAAGATCAACAAATGAATATGAAAAAATACTTAATACACATTTCATACAGCCAAGGCATGGTGCTAAATAAATGCTATTGGAGCCAAAAGTCCAAACTCTACCCTGTCCTCAACAAGATTATGATTCAACAGCTTTTTACCTCACTGCCATGAGCAGACACAGGAATTCTATCAGAATGACTTCAGTCCCAGCTGTGCACACGAACACATGTACATTTTATAAACAAGACTGGAGTTATTCTAAGAAACACTAGTGATCAAGAGAAAAGGCAGCTAAACAAATGGGCTTTTGTTTTTGTTTCCCACATGGCTCCATGGCATCGCCTTCTGTCAAGATTTTTTTTCCCCCAGTTTTACTCGGTCAGTCTTACCACAGAAATATGGCTTTACAAGTTACCTAATCAAACTTCCTATTTGATGGTTACGTCTTTGTTATGGAGGCATGCGAATTTGTGATTGCTGTTTGTCTCACTTAGAACACACCCAGTTCCAAAGAACAGATACCCAAACCCTGTTCTTTTAATCAATGATGATGGACCTGGCTCAGAACTGTTTGGTTTAGACTGGAAACATCACCAAATATCAGATCTCTCTTTGGGAAGGCTTCCTTGTGTGTTCCATTTATTCTGGATTGACCTGTGTTTGGAAGATTTTATTTATTTATTTATTTGGCCCTTTTTAGAAGAGGACTGCTCTAGAAAGTTCATTGGGGAAGAGAGAGAAGGGAGTCCTCAAGTCAAGCTAAAAGTAGGTATAACAAAATGCTATTGGACAAAGTGACGCCTCCTAGTGTTTCTTAGATGCAGGGTTTATGCTCATGAACTCTTGTTGCTGTCTGCTCCAAGGGGGAGCACTGACTCCATGAACAAATGGAAACAATTTCATGTAACAATTTAGTAATACCTTCACTTCATGGCACTCCTACCCCCGCCAACTAAAAACTGAATTTTTCAAGCTACTGTAATATGGATTATACAAATCACCACCAATGCACTCATTTTTTTTTCTTATCAGAATCTCCCACTTTCCTGAATGTAATAAAAATGTACCTTCTCCCTGAATGCCAGGAAGTTAAATAGTTGTCTACTCCTTACTAGTATCATTTATACTCATTATTTAAACCATTTGGATGCCTTATACAAACGTTTTCAGACTTAAGAAGGAAGTGGGTTGGGCGGTGAGTAGAAACACCATTTATGAGAAGCTGAGGCTGGAGGAGGCCATCCTGAGCTAAAGACCCCAAATCAAAAAGTGGCATAGGGGAGAGTTACTTGCTTAGTTTTGTTTTTTTGAGACTGAGTCTACAGTATATGCTGGCCTCAAAACTCCCATTCCTCCTGCCTCTGCCTCCCAACTACTAGGTTTGCAGGCCAAGCACTAGATTTGAGGAGATAGTTCCTAGGCATCCATCTTATTCTCAATGCCTTTTACTCCCACGGGGTTCTTCCTTCTATATTTCATAAAACATCCATTCCAATCAAAATCAAAACAAATTCAAATATCAGAAAAGAAAAATAAAAGAAATGCTTTATTATACTTAGCCATGCATTTCAGTGTCAAGTGTTCAAGTGAACACTTGTTGAAAAGTGAGTGGTTAGGGCAGGAAGGATAGCTCTGCAGTTGAGAGTGCTTACTGTTCCTGCGTAAGATCTGGGTTCTGGTCTCCACAGTCCCTTCCCTACTTCCTGCACTCATGCAAATACCTCATTCTATCAAAGCAAAAGACTACAAATGTATTTCCTACAAAGGTGACAGGTTCCAGGCAGAGAGTGAGAATAGATCTATTAAGTCAACATTTACATACTGAATGGAATGCTAAGGCAACCAGTTTGACTTCTAGAATCCTGTACCACCTTCCCATTTTTCTCAAGATCAGAAGATCCTTTATGTTGTATGTTGATCAACCCAAAAGAAAAGACCTGAAGACACTGCCTGTGGCCACTGTTTATGCCACTCAGCCCATCAGCTTCTCTGGACTTTCCTTTTTCCTTCTCTTCTCTCTTTTCAGACACTAGCCTGTTGGAGGTGACTTCTAGTTAGTCCCCGGCCACTTTACCCTGAAATAATCACACAGAAACTGTATTAATCAAATCACTGCTTGGCCCATTAGCTCTAGCTTCTTTTTTTTAAAATATTTATTTATTTATTATGTATACAATATTCTGTCAGTGTATATGCCCGCAGGCTAGA